GACGCAGACATAATCTGCGGGAGTGGTTTTTAGCGCTCGCTACTTGAAAAATGGATGAAAACTAGCGGGCCGTACCAGTAGCCTAGAGTACGGTAGCTCTCATTTGAAACGTCATAACAATATTGCTCTAGTACTGGTTTAGGATGAAATATGAATAAGGAGATAACACTCTGATTTGAATTTGTTTTTATTTCTCTAAATTTAATAACATTCTTAATATACATTAGGTATTGGATGTGTAGTACTTCTCTGAGAGAGGAAGGAAGCCTTGGCGGACTTTTTAAGATACAAAGTACAAGTTCTCAAGGAAGCAGGCACGTGCAAGAATTCAAACCACCAAGAAAGTTTGTTCTCTCGTTGTCACGCTTTCAAAATTGTGTCTCATTTCATCAGGACGTGCTACAAATGATATTGATGTCGATTATAATATCTATATTAGTAGTTTTTAATTGATATTGTAATGAATTTTAATTAGCTTTCAGTATTCTTTCTAGTACGTACTGTTGAAGAAAATAAACAGCTTGATGTAAACAGAGAACAAACTTTCAGGAGTCAATTCTTTGTACTCCTCTGTATTTAAGTATTACTAGGAACTAAATCTTAGCATGGATATGAAAACATTATTACAATTTTAACAACTAACTCAATTTTATTAACAGCCTCGTGTGAAACATGAGGAAGTGGAAGATCCTGAAAGATGTAAGCCACGTGGCATTCAGATTAGATCCTAGTATAATTTCCAAAAATAAAAAATGATTTTGTTGTTGGGTTCTAAGGTAATCTCACATCCTATATACAACAATCGTTACAATAGAATATCTAAAAATCATATGTACACATTCAGAGAGAATAAAAATATTAAAATAAACGGAGAAAGAAAGGTTAACACTGAATCCTCAGATATCGTTTCCCTCAAACCCTATGGATTGCTTACTTTGTCGAAAAAAATATGATTCAGTGAAAAATTAAAATAGGTCACATTGGAGATTGCTAGATATTTTGTACCTAAAAGACAGCTTATAGAGTATTACCATCTTGAAAAGATAATTTTGAAAAAAACTTAAAATAATCTTTGGTTTGACTTTTTATCAGATCTTATAAAATATAAATGAGTTTTGGCACATGAAATAAGGTGAGATTTGATGAATTCATGATGATAGTGCTAATCCTAATCGAGCTAGGACCATGTTCTTTCGTTAGGCGAACGATCTCCCAGTATACGTCATGAACTGAAAAAGAAAACAATAAAGTAAATTTAATTTGAAAATGTTCAGATCAGATTTTTTTCTCTGGGGATACCTCAAGAGCCGCGTTTACGCCAATAAACCGACGACGATTGTCCAGCTCAAGCACAAAATTTCCGAGGAGATGTCCACTATCCACGAGTGTTGTGCCAGCGAGTTTCCGCGAATTTGAAGTCGAGATTCGAGGAGTGCGTACGTCTCGATGGCTCACATCTCAGTGAGGTTATTTTAAAAAAATAAAATTTCTATCTGTCCTCTTTATTAAAAATATAAATTATCTTTGCTACGCTTTGTAGTTTTTTTTCCTATGATTTTTTAAAAATCCCACTAGCGATGTGACAGGGACTTTTCACTAATTTGAAGTCGAGATTCGAGGAGTGCGTACGTCTCGATGGCTCACATCTCAGTGATGTTATTTTAGAAAAATAAAACTCCCATGTGTCTACTTTATTAAAAATATAAACTATCTTTGCTACGCTTGTAGTTTTTTTTTCCTATGATTTTTTAAAAATCCCACTAGCGATGTGACAGGGACTTTTCACTAATTTGAAGTCGAGATTCGAGGAGTGCGTACGTCTCGATGCCTCACATCTCAGTGAGGTTATTTTAAAAAAATAAAAATCGGAGGTGTCTACTTTATTAAAAATATAAATTATCTTTGCTACGCTTTGTATTTTTTTCCTATGATTTTTTAAAAATCCCACGAGCGATGTGCCAGGGACTTTTCACTAATTTGAAGTCGAGATTCGAGGAGTGCGTACGTCTCGATGCCTCAAATCTCAGTGAAGTTATTTTAAAAAAATAAAATTCGGAGGTGTCTACTTTATTAAAAATATAAATTATCTTTGCTACGCTTTGTAGTTTTTTTCCTATGATTTTTCAAAAATCCCACGAGCGATGTGCCAGAGACTTTTCACTAATTTGAAGTCGAGATTCGAGGAGTGCGTACGTCTCGATGCCTCACATCTCAGTGAAGTTATTTTAAAAAATAAAATTCGGAGGTGTCTACTTTATTAAAAATATAAATTATCTTTGCTACGCTTTTAGTTTTTTTTTCTATGATTTTTCAAAAATCCCACTTTTCACTAATTTGAAGTCGAGATTCGAGGAGTGCGTACGTCTCGATGCCTCACATCTCAGTGAAGTTATTTTAAAAAATAAAATTCGGAGGTGTCTACTTTATTAAAAATATAAATTATCTTTGCTACGCTTTGTAGTTTTTTTCCTATGATTTTTTAAAAATCCCACTAGCGATGTGACAGGGACTTTTCACTAATTTGAAGTCGAGATTCGAGGAGTGCGTACGTCTCGATGCCTCACATCTCAGTGAAGTTATTTTAAAAAAATACAATTCGGAGGTGTCTACTTTATTAAAAATATAAATTATCTTTGCTACGCTTTGTAGTTTGTTTTCTATGATTTTTTGAAAATCCCACGAGCGATGTGCCAGGGACTTTTCACTAATTTGAAGTCGAGATTCGAGGAGTGCGTACGTCTCGATGCCTCACATCTCAGTGAAGTTATTTTAAAAAAATAAAATTCGGAGGTGTCTACTTTATTAAAAATATAAATTATCTTTGCTACGCTTTGTAGTTTTTTTCCTATGATTTTTCAAAAATCCCACGAGCGATGTGCCAGAGACTTTTCACTAATTTGAAGTCGAGATTCGAGGAGTGCGTACGTCTCGATGCCTCACATCTCAGTGAAGTTATTTTAAAAAAATAAAATTCGGAGGTGTCTACTTTATTAAAAATATAAATTATCTTTGCTACGCTTTTTAGTTTTTTTTTTTCTATGATTTTCAAAAATCCCACTTTTCACTAATTTGAAGTCGAGATTCGAGGAGTGCGTACGTCTCGATGCCTCACATCTCAGTGAAGTTATTTTAAAAAAATAAAATTCGGAGGTGTCTACTTTATTAAAAATATAAATTATCTTTGCTACGCTTTGTAGTTTTTTTCCTATGATTTTTTTAAAAATCCCACTAGCGATGTGCCAGGGACTTTTCACTAATTTGAAGTCGAGATTCGAGGAGTGCGTACGTCTCGATGCCTCACATCTCAGTGAGGTTATTTTAAAAAATAAAATTCGGAGGTGTCTACTTATTAAAATATAAATTATCTTTGCTACGCTTTGTAGTTTTTTTCTATGATTTTTCAAAAATCCCACTTTTCACTAATTTGAAGTCGAGATTCGAGGAGTGCGTACGTCTCGATGCCTCACATCTCAGTGAAGTTATTTTAAAAAAATAAAATTCGGAGGTGTCTACTTTATTAAAAATATAAATTATCTTTGCTACGCTTTGTAGTTTTTTTCCTATGATTTTTTAAAAATCCCACTAGCGATGTGACAGGGACTTTTCACTAATTTGAAGTCGAGATTCGAGGAGTGCGTACGACTCGATGCCTCACATCTCAGTGAGGTTATTTTAAAAAAATAAAATTCGGAGGTGTCTACTTTATTAAAAATATAAATTGTCTTTGCTACGCTTTGTAGTTTTTTTTCTATGATTTTTTAAAAATCCCACGAGCGATGTGCCAGGAACTTTTCACTAATTTGAAGTTGAGATTCGAGGAGTGCGTACGTCTCGATGCCTCACATCTCAGTGAGGTTATTTTAAAAAATAAAAATCGGAGGTGTCTATTAAAAATATAAATTATATTTGCTACGCTTTGTAGTTTGTTTTCTATGATTGTTTAAAAATCCCACTAGCGATGTGCCAGGGACTTTTCACTAATTTGAAGTCGAGATTCGAGGAGTGCGTACATCTCGATGGATATCAATGACGTTCTTTTAAAAAAATAAAATTCCCATGTGTCTATCAAAAATATAAATTATCTTCCCTACGCTTTGTACTTTTTTCTATGATTTTTTAAAATCCGCCCATCTTAATGGCCCACTTTGTATAATATTAGTGGTAGCATACTGTCTGTAAAGAGAACTTCTAGAGGCTCCTTCGATACAGATAATTACGACGTAAAACACTATTCTCTATGACGAAGTGGTTTTCTACCAAAAAGTGAAAATAAAGGAAAACACTAAAACATAGTAGCAAAAACCATAATAAAAATCACACAGCTGCAACGAGGCCATGGCGTGTTTCAAATGTGATAATAATTCCATTTATTGGTTTATTGCAGAACAAATATTTAGTTAATAAACGGCAAACCCATCAGAATCGATGCCATCATTTTGAGGCAATTAACGCCCTCTCTACGTAACCACAATACGGCAAATATTTACTCTATGCACACACTTCGCAGTACCTACCCGAACTCTTGACCAATCCTCGCTCAATGTACTTCAAATAGTTTAAAAAATCACAGACGGCAATTATCTGAAACCAAGGAAAATTACATATAAATACACCATTTGTTTAGCCTCGATAGTACACGTATATATGCTTCATTTTACGAGCTTTTTATCATTACGTGAGAAAGTCGTATACGTTTTGTAAACAGAATATGCTCTTCAGTTGCTCATATACAGGGTGGCCCCAGCGACAATGTCGCACCCCCATTTGTTACTCTCCTGGTACATTTTAGGAAAAACGCTCAGACAGGTCAATTTTGATTTCTAGGGGGACCTCGTATATGATCGGTTCTTCATGTTACAACTCTATAAATATTGTAACTGTGTAGTGGCAGATACAAATATTAAATACACCTCAATGAAAGAGTTATTAAGATGAATGGCTAAAAATTCATAAGAAAAATATACCAACCCTATTCCTACAGATTTGTGATATGTTGTACCATGTATCTGCTTCACCTATATTCATTCTGTAGAAGCACAGTCTTGGTACCTCGAGCAACGCACATTTCCTGAAAAACAGAAAATTCTAATATAAACCAAAACCCTTACATAGTACGTCACTGCTGATAGCACAATGGAAACTTAGTGTTCCCTCTGATTGGCGGGTTGTCTATATTTTTAGAATGGGCAGCTTTTCTTTTTAGCCAAAAATTAACGCCAGAATGACATTCGAAAGTCAAACCAGTAGATCTACCGTAAAACGATAGATCTGGCAGCACTGCAAACATACCACAACAACGTTTACTGCTGTGAAGAAGATCTGTCAAAACATGTAGTTTTATTGGCCGGAGAAGCATGGGGGATTACTACTAGAATATCCTGACTTACTTGGGGAACATCGCCTTAGTCTTATCACTAACAGCTTCGATGAGTATTGTACCGGATTCGACTGCCTTAACAACTTTCCCTGACAGGTCGCTGTTGTTGAAGCATAGGCACAGGTGAATATCTTCGTCGTACATTCGGCTAATGAAGCAGTCTGCCTTATCTAGCACTGGGTTTTGGCGCCAGACCAGGAACTCTTTGTGTAGCACTGGATCCACCTAGCATAAAAAATATACTTTTTAGTGAGTCTATATTGCCCCAGAAACATGTAATTTCAGGTGGATTGTTATGACTATTTCCGTCGTCTTTCTACCAATAACAAATGCGCAATTTTGAATTACAAATAATGGGTGATTTTTTTGCTAGTATCTTTTTGGCAACACTGTTTTTGACAGATGACGCGTGAATCGTGTCTTGTGTCATTGTCAAACTTGTTCAGTTTGGTCTATAATTTAACCTTGAATCGACTTACGAACGAACAACGCTTGCAAACTATTGAATTTTACTATCAAAATTCATGCTCGGTTAAGAGAGTGCATCGAGCACTGCTTCCAATTTATGGGCAATTTGGTCGGCCTACTGAGGGAGCTATTCGGAAGCTTGTGACTAAATTTCGAACCCAGTTTACATTATTGGACATTAAACCACCAACACGCAGACGCAGAGTGAGGACTGAAGAAAATATTGCGGCTGTATCCGCCAGTGTTAGTGATGACCGTGAAATGTCGATTCGCCGCCGTTCGCAGCAATTGGGCCTCTGCTACTCCACTACGTGGAAAATTTCGCGACAGGATTTGGGTGTAAAACCTTATAAGATACAGCTGGTGCAAGAATTGAAGCCACACGACCTCCTACGCTTCCCATTTGGTGAATGGGCGCTGGCAAAGTTGGAGGAAGATCCGCATTTTTATCGAAAAATTGTGTTCAGCGACGAAGCTCATTTCTGGTTGAATGGGTACGTTGACAAGCAAAATTTCCGCATCTGAAATGAAGACCAGCCAGAAGCATTGCAAGAGCTACCAATGCATCCCAAAAAAATCACTGTTTGGCGTGGATTATGGGCCGGTGGCATCATCGGGCCGTACTTCTTCAAAGACGACAATGGCCGGAACGTAACTGTGAATGGCGAGCGCTTCCGTGCGATGATAACAAACTTTTTTTTGCCCAAAATGGAAGAGCTGGACTTGGCTGACATGTGGTGTCAACAAGACGGTGCCACATGCCACACCGCACACGAAACAATGGCCCTATTGAGAGGCGAGTTCGGTGAACAATTTATCTCACGTTTGGGTCCCGTCAATTTGCCGCCTAGATCGTGTGATTTAACACCGTTGGACTATTTCTTGTGGGACCACGTTAATGCTAATATCTACAGGGATAAACCAGCAAAGATTGACGCACTGGAAGCCAATATTGAAGCATTTATTCGTGAGATACCGGCCGATATGTTGGAGAGACTGTGCCAAAATTGGACCTGGCGCATGGGCCATCTAAAGCGGAGCCGCGGCCAACATTTACATGAAATAATTTTTAAACATTAAATTATATCGACCGTTCTATCGACTCAAATAAAGATTTAATCATTTTTTCAAATTTTTGGGTTTTTTTTCAAATCCTATACCTCTTAAAAAATCACCCATAACAGGAATTTTTTTATTTCAATTTTGAATCTATTTTTATTTGAAATGGATTTTATATGCCTTGCTACTAAGTTATAAAATCTAGTGGAGATTTAACTGAAGCATCTTTGACATATATTTTTTGTAGTAAATGGTGTTCTTTTAATATCCTCGACTTTCCTTCTTGTTTCATACTTGTGGTTCAACGAAATGTGGTTTGTTTTATTTTTGAATACATTGATTACAATATTGTAGAAAAGAGAAGCCTAATATCGAGTAGTCTCGCTTGGGAATATAACATATCAGGTGGATAAAAAATTGGTAGTTTAAAAATAATTTTAAAAAATTGTTTTTGGATTATTTCTAGCTTCTTAATTTGGTTGGTAAGAGCACCACCCCAAGCTAGTATGGCATAATTCAGGCGATATTCAATAAGTGCATGATATAACATCTTCATTGTTCCATGGTCTAGCTGGTGAGGTACTTCAATTTAAATAATAAAATATAATAATAAATCACCCGTTAGTTTCTAGATCGAAAAATTCTATGACAGCACCTGTCAGCAGTTTTTTCGAGTACTACTATTCGTCATTTGTTTGTCTGGGCGGTCCCATTAGTCACTGCCTAATGTACGTTAGTCGAATCTGTCAGTACTGGTTGCCCAGAAACCAGAAAATGTCAAGGAAAAAAAGAAAGGGAAAGAGAAGAAAAATGGAGAAGAGCAAAGAAAAACAGAAGTGTTTAGATTAAGAGGAGACATTTAGGCGTTTTTAATTGGTACACGGATTAATTTTGAGGTGAACTGAACAAATTTTGATTCGGTTTTGTCGGAGTGTTATTTTAAGTTCACGCTAATTTTTTATTACAGTGCGAGCAGTGGCCTTGAATGTTGACGAACTTGCTCCACTGTGTAGTCCATTGAGCGCGCAACAGAGGGTTGCTGTGCGAATCCGCTTGACTATAACGTCGCTGCGCCTGAAGTTTGACATAATCCCTCAAGTAAGGAATGTCAATTTCTCTGTGTAGTGTCTCGTTTGAAACATTATTATTTATCAAGGGTGACACCGAGGTACTTGGCAGAATTTGTCCATGGTACACGATTGCCGTCTACAGAGACCTTTGCTGGGGGGCCGCGACGTTTTTTGGTACAATAAATAGTCTGCGTTTTCGAATGAATCAGCCATCGTGAACCAGATCACCAGTACATGACTGGGCGACAAGTGCAGTGTCGACAGCATAGAGGTAGACTTCACAGTTGCTGGTGCAAGGGACATCATGGATAAAAAGCGAATAAAGGATTGGTCCTAGGACCAAACCCTGAGGAACACCGGTCCGTACTGGCCGTGTTGTTGACAAAACATTGTTAATTTTGATCCGAAACTTCCTTCCTTCAAGAAAGGATTTAAGTAATTTTAGAAGCCAAAAAGGAAAACCCTTTTGGATTAGTTTATAAATGAGGCCCGCGTGCCACACCTTATCAAAGGCTTTTGAGACATCCAAAAGCAAGATGCCAGTACTCATGCTGGTTATATGTTCCACCAGCCTGACTGAACGACAGGAATCACATGGTGATATGACGAAAAATTCTCAAGGTGACGATAAATAACCTTTTCGGCGAGCTTAGAAGCAGCTGACAGCAGACTTATGGGACGGTAATCCTGAGGAAATATCGAACCCACCTTCTTTGGAATCATGATGACCTCAGCAGTCTTCCACCCAGCAGGGAAGTACTGGATTCTGAGCGTCGCATTGATTATTGTCACCAAATATGTCAGGGCTTTCGGCGAGAGCAGCTTCAACGCCTCATTGGTGATTTGATCCTCCCAGGTGCTTTACGCACCTTGAGGTCTTTAATATGACTTAGGAGCTGCGCTGCTGTGCAATGTGGAAACTCGGAGGGTTCCGCTAATGTGCTATGTGGAGCCTCAGACGAATCTTCTGAAGCAGAGTCATCTGAAATATCTCCTGACGGATCGTACGATGTGCTGCTCCTCGTCGAGCTCATTATCAAGATCATAGTTGGAAGAGAACTGTTTTTCCATGGCATCAGCGAAAACCTCGACCTTATCCTCCGTTCTGAAGACTACAGTATATTCAGATAAGAGATAGACCGGATGTAAACAAAAGGTTCGGGTGATTTTCACGCTAACGCCGCCGTCTCGACGTAAAACAGGAGCCCTCATTGGTCAATTCGCAATTAAATGCCTATGCCGAGCGGCAGAGCAGTCGTATCAAGGCAGAGTCACATTCAGGTTCAGACGTGTTACGTATGTCGTGTGCATCATTGCAATTTGATATTTCTTTGGACGTTTTCGTTTGTTATCTTATTAAGTTGTTGAGTTTGTCGTTGTTATTGTTATACCTTGTTATTGATTGTTATTGTTATCAACTGCTTGCGCAAAATGCCCAGTAGTACAGATACTGCCGATGAAGTTGTAAACTCCTGTAGTCCACCTAGGAAACGCTCTAAAAAAAGACACCTGAGTGCAGAAATGAAAGAGGTCATTTTGAATATATATAAGATCGAGCGCGAGGAGAACGTGGCATCAACCATCAAAGAAATTGTTGTGAAGGTTTCTCACAAAGTTGGGGTGTGTCGCGCATCAGTGTTTAATGTGTTAAGACAATACAAAAAAAATCACACCTTTTCTGAGCCAATGACCAGTAAACATCGCAAAAGTATTGTTAAATCATTGGATGAAGCTGATAAGCATACGATTAGGAGGAAAGTGCATGAACTCTTCTTTAGGAATGAAATACCTACTATAGATAAAGTACTGCAGGAGGTAAATGGAGATACAACGTTGCCAAATTTCAAACGATCAACTTTCCATGCGTTACTGAAGCATTTAAATTTCAAATGGAAAAAACGGGGTCGTAATAGTTTACTACTGGTTAGAGAAGAAATTGTGCTATGGAGGAGGGATTATTTAACAAAAATTGGGAAATAGAGAAATCAAAACAGGAAGATTTATTACCTTGATGAAACGTGGGTAAACGCAGGACACACTACAAGTAAAGTATGGGTTGATGATTCTGTAACTTCATCCAGGAGGGCCTTTCTAGATGGACTGTCCACCGGATTAAAAAATCCAGCAGGTAAATACGAGTAATAGACAACAATCGGATGTTTTTCAAACCTTGGGAACAAGGTTCTAAACATTAATTCCAGGGGGCAGATAAAACATATTACAAGTAACAAAACTTTTATAACTTTCGATAAAATGCGTGGATGTTTTATTGTCATTTTCATTTGTTAGATCTTTTTTAAGCCATGTTTTTATTTGTTTTCGATATTTCAATAATTTTTTAATATAATCTTAAAATATGTCGAATATTATAAACTTAAAAAAAGTTACTAAGTTTTATATTGTGTACCGTTCCTAATATTTCTAATCATTTTAATTCATAATTTAAGCTTTATAAAGTTATAATTTGTTAATATTAATATTTGCGCGTATTTCAGGTTCCTGACCATTCATTTTTTAAAGGTTTATAACTTTAAATTAAATTGTGAAGCGCTGAGTAATCATATGACGTTCAATATTCTTTCTTTCAATATGACTAAATAATCCCAATTATAGCAATCTTATACTCATGTCTCAATGTTTTTTCGCTGAATGTGATGAAAATATTTGAAAAAGGTTCGCTTATTGAAATAAATCTACACCAGTTAGTACTTCGATTTCCAGGTAAAGGGAAAAGGCTCATTATCTGCCATATTGGCAGTGAGGATGGATTTGTTGTTGACGGTCTGTGGTGCTTTGAGTCTAAGAAAACTGGAGATTACCACGAGGAAATGAATGGCGAATCGTTTGAACAGTGGTTTTCAAAAATTTTACCGAACTTAGAGGAAAACGCAGTAATTATGTTGGATAATGCGCCTTATCATTCTCGAAGAATGGAGAAGGTCCCAACAACGGCTTCAAGGAAAGTTGATGTTCAAAATTGGCTCCGCTCGAAAAATATCAACTTTGAAGAAGCAATGCTGAAAGTACAATTATTAAGAATTGTCAAGGATCACAAGGCGGAATATCAAAAATACGCCATTGACGAAATGGCAGCAAGTCAAAATAAAACTGTGCTTCGTTTACCTCCATACCATTGCGAGCTCAATCCCATTGAGCTCGTATGGGCAGAGGTTAAAAATTATATAGCTAAGCACAATACAACTTTTAAATTTTGTGACCTCAAAGGACTTTTCAAAGAAGCACTAGAATTAATAACAGCGCAAAAATGGGAAAACTGTATTAAGCACGTGAAAGACAAAGTTGAAAAGAGAATGTGGGAACTGGACAATATTTTAGAGGAACAAGTCGAGCCATTCATTATTGACGTTGGTGCTTCAGGCAGTAGCGATGATGAAAGCTCATCAAGCTCATCTTTCCAATAAAAGATGTCGTTCATCAAATTCGGTAAGTTATAAGTAATTATGAAGCTACTGTATTTTTTAATTAATTATTGATATTTTTGAACCCATTTTGGCAAAACCTATTCAAGAATCTACTTTCTGACAATGTTCAACCATGCACATTTTTTTACGTTTTGAACGTTTTAATTTGGTTACATATTTACCTAGAAATCAAAAAATATACTAATCAATATTCTAAAAGCAATTTTAAGAGATATACGATTATTTTTAATTTAGGCTAATTTAAACGCCATTTTGAGATTGTATTCGACTGTATTTCACCAAACATCAGGCGGCATCCGAAGCTGGAAATCGAAGCGAAAATTTTGAAACCCTTATGTACATTTACATCATTATATATTTCTTACCCGACCCCCACTTGATCCTATATCCATCACCAATCGTATCCACATCGAATTGTGCTAATTTACTACAAAGTTACGCAAAGCAGCATCTACTATCTTAAATATGTACTGCGTGACTCTTAATACGTCCCTGCCGAATGTTACAGCGTTCGATGATCACGTGGTCTTGTTTATGTCCGGTCTATCTCTTATCTGAATATACTGTATGCCTTCAGGACCGTGGATGTGCGGGAGTTGTTCTCGCTTTCCGTTTCCGAGTGACTTTGCGACCCTCCACAGAGGAATACTTGAATCAAGCATTCCCGACAGAAATTGGCTCCATTGCTCGTTGCGGAGTTCGTGCAGTGCGTTTCTCACTTCATGGACAAGATTTGTAGCCCTACGAATGTCATCAGGATGTTTTTTAGAGTTTACCCGCGGCAAAACTTGACAGCTGTTGTCACCAAAAATTACAACACCTTTGATAACAAGTAATTATGGTCTCATAGGACACCAGAAAACGACGCTAAACAATTTTTCTGATTTTATTGTCAATAAATTTTTTAATATTGTTTTTAAACAAAGCTAGTCAGCTTATGTAGTGAAAATAAGTCGCATTGGAAGTGATTCTTTGACTAACATTGATCTGGCGATTGAAGAAAGTGTAGCGTACAATACCGTTAAAACCCATACGTCAATTTGGAAATTCGGAATTCTGCAAGGCAATGAAGTACAAGCTTTCGGAAATTACGAGTTTTGAGTGTAGAAAATAAAGAAAGAAAGCGGTGAAAATTACAAAGAACTAGTTGTGAAGACAAGACATGTATTTTATGAAATGAAAAATAATTTTTGATCTATTTACAGATGTTATCTGTAAGTCTAGTAGGGAAATTCGTAATTCGAAACGAAGGAATTTGCAGGTACTTAAAAAAATACTTTAATTGGTAGTATGTTTTCTAAGCTATGAGTATGTAGAATAATCTGTTAGTCATAGTCTTGCCAAATACCATTCGGGCATCTAATTTTTTCCTGTGAAAAAAATCGAAAAACCACAAATGCAAAGTAATATTTTTTAACAGACATCTGTCTGTTCTTTTACGTTCACTTCGTGGTTGAACTAGATAGGTTTCGTTTATGTTTTATACGTATTCAACCGATGACTCATCCTTACCTCTAAGCCTTCTTTGCTTTCCACCTCACAAGTGATATGCACCACTTCCTTGACTGGCGAATCTGGAGGTGAATTTTCCCTGCCATATTTCAGATTAAAGTGCGATGGAGACCGGCGATGCTTCTTGAACAACGCCACACCTGTAACAACGAACAAAGAACACACCTTATTTTTTATAGAATATTAAGATCTTTTATCGTACCTCATCCAGTAATGGCTATGTGAATACATTAAATATAATCAAGGTGTACCTTACACTACCCACACTATGCTGATGTCATACTCGATCATTTTTGACAAGGTTGAGTATCGCATCTTTTTGCTTTGACGAACAACCTTGCTAGTTTGCATTTAAATACGTCTTACTGATACAACAAGGGTTGTACGTGGACGTTAGGTGCTTAAGTATAATAATAATAATAAATAATAGTACATTTATTTCATTTATTTGTTTATTTAACAAATTAGGGACATCAAACAGAGAAAATCTCCAAAAATAGACATCCACAGGTTAAACATGCTAAATTGTAAGGAGTTTTATTTTATAATCTACATACCTATATGAAATAAATAATTCAATTCAGTGAAGAAAAAATATTAATAGGGAGTGGACAACATTCTGTTTTTTTATCAAGTATTTAAACAGTAACATTTCACAAGCAAAAATATCAGCAAATTTATTATAGTTGTTCAGATTTTTTTGCATTCGTACCAGAGAGTTTAAACCAGTAGTTCTACAAAACGGAATATTGAAGTATGTATATAAAAAAATAACAAAAACAACCAATTCTAGGAATTTAAGTGACTATCTAGGTCAGGAATATCATCATGATTTACTTTTGTATCCGATGAAGTTTTTTGAGTTGAAGTAAAAAAATAAAATGTCATCTGGACCTGATGAAATTTCAAACTTCTTAGTAAAAAGAGTATTATATTATATATATATACAGGGTGTCCGCAAAGTTGGGGTTTTCCTTTTCAGAAACAACTACCATTGAAATAACAAAGGTAATGTGTAGTGAAACGAGGGCGACCAAGTAAAAAAAATAAAGGAAAAAGTACTCACTCTCCAGTTGACGAGAAGGGCTAAGTACGTCTCTGCCCGAAATCATACCGCTCCAACAGAAAATGAAATCAGCTGATGCGCTACCGATCAGACGCAGGCAAACAAGGAAGGCAAAATGTTGCGTAAAAAGTCTAGGTATTGCATCCCGTCCAATCGATTTGGGAGAATAAATGGTCCAATGAGCATACCGTTCACCGTGGCAGCCCAAACATTCACCGAAAATGTTTGTTGAAAATGTGCCCGACGGACAGCGTGCGGATTTTCTACTGACCAAACATGAGTGTTGCGAAATTTATTCACCCCATTACGCGTGAACGTAGATTCGTCTGTCACCAATATGCACTTCAAAAAGTCCGGATTATTGTCATGTTGATGCAACAACCACTCACAAAACCGCACTCTTGCTGGAAAATCGTCAGGTTGAAGGGCTTGTACACGTTGGACGTGAAACGGATACAGCCCCTCTTCACGCAGCGTTTGCCACACTTTAGTTTTTGATACTTGCACTTCTCTAGCCACGTCTCTAGTGCTTGTTGTTTTTTGAAACGCAATCGATTATAAGGGTTCGTTTACCTCTACACGCGTGACCGTAATCGTCGGTTGAAGGTTGCATTCTGACCTGACACACTGCCCCCGACCCACTTGTACCAGTCGGTGATATCGCGGGTCGCGGCTACAGGACGGTATTCAGATATTTTTGATGTTGCAGAGCCTTTATCTCGGTTCCCACATTGGTGTATATGCTACTAAGAAAAATTGCTTATGTTTTCAAGATCTACACGTCGTGTAAAGGAAAACCCCAACTTTGCGGACACCCTGTATATATATAACCAAACCACTTGTTTCCTTAATTTTTTTGCAATGGTAAGTTTCCTAATGTACTGAAGAAAAGCAAAGTTGTGCCAACATTTGAAAAGGGTGACCCTGCCGATATGAATAATTACAGGCCAGTAACTGTGCCTTTTTGTTTTTCAAAGATATTTGAATACTGTTTTTAAATATATTACATTCACACATTATCAAGAATAACATACTAACGGATGAGCAACATGATTTCTGTAATAATAAATCCACCACTACAGCGATATATTCATTTTATGGAAAACTAATTGATCTCATTGAGGCTGGCGAATGTCTTTTGTGATCTCAGCAGGGCACCTGACTGCGTCAGTCATGAAATATTGTTAAAAAATTACATGGTTACGGAATTACTGGTAGTTCTCAAATCTTTTTTTAAAAACGGGTCACAATATGTTTCTATATTACATAACTATGATATAGAAACAAAGCAAGTCCAGTCTGCATGTGTTGATATTGATATGGGAGTTCCCCAAGGATCTATATTAGGGCCTCCGTTATTTATACTGTATATAAATAATCTGGGTGAACTGTTTCAAGTAAATTTTACATTGTGTATAGACGATGTCTCAATTATAATTTCAGATCCTCATGATAATGTATTGGTCACTAAATTGAAAGACATTTTGAAGCATCTTTAAAAATGGTTTGCACAAAATTAGTTATTTTTAAACTCAGAGAAGACTGCTGTGGTAAGATTTTTTTTATAAATGAAGATCAACTTATCAGTCTATACTATGCCTGACTGAGGTGCGGCCTTTGCTTCTGGGGTACATCAAGTGCGATGATGCATGTATGTTATTTATATGCCAGGAAAGAGTGATCTGAAGCATTGCCAAAGTGAATAGTATGCATAATTGTAGGGAATTGTTTAAAATATAAAACTATTTAAGAAATGAAGATGTTCATGGGCTAAATACAAGATAATGTCAACAATTATATGTACCTTTTGTGATATATAATGTATCCAGGAAGTCTCCAAGGTATTTAGGGCCAAACATTTTTAACAGTTTGCCAGCAGACATAAGATACGTCAAAGAAACGAATTTTTCAAAATAAAACTTGAGCAGTTTCTTATAACAAAACGCTATTACGTCGTCTCGGAATATTGTGTACTATAAGATTTGTGTTTGTTTATTTTATATTTTGTATTCATTTTGACGAGTTCTGTACATTGAATTTGTGTCGGAAAAACAATAAACTATACTAAGTGACATATAAATCCGAACACCCAGTTTAAATGGTTTTATTTTAATAAAATTTTGTATAAGTACTTAATGAAGCATAATAAGTAAATGATAAAAATTTCAAAATGATTGGACTGCTTTAAAGCCCTTTGACCTTTAATGTGTGGATGCACCCTGATGTGCCACGCATTCTCCAAAGCGCCTAGGCATGCTTCTGATCAGGTGGTCAATGTCCTCCTGTGGTATCTCATTCCAGGCAACCACCAACTCCTCTCGAAGTGCTTCTAGAGTCTGAGGAGGACGTTGCAAATTGAGCAATCTCCTACCCATCATATCCCACACGTGCTCAATTGGGGATAAGTCGGGAGATCTTGGTGGCCATGGTAACAATGTGACATCATTATGTTGAAAGAAGTCTATTGTGACTCTTGCAACATGTGGTCGGGCATTATCTTGTTGGAAAGATGGATCTGCCAGGGTGTCAAGATGGTGTTCTAGAACTTCGTGGATATAACGCTGTGCGTTCATGTTACCTTTGATGAAGATTAAAGGTGAACTGGAACCATAAGCTATAGCACCCCAAACCATAACTCCAACAGTGTGATGAACATATCTTTCAACAAAAAACTGTGGATTCCTCCTTTCACCACGTCGCCTTCTAACCCTGGCACGACCATCGTGCATGCCTAAACAAAATCGAGACTCGTCACTAAAGACAATACTGTTCCATTCCTGATCCCAGAGTGACCGTTGTCTGCACCACTCAAGGCGATTACGTCGGTGAGTTAAAGGCAGGACCCAGTGTGGCCGGTATGAAAACAAGCCAAAACTTCTCATATGTCGGTAAACACTTCGCATGCCAATAGGTCTTCCGTGTTCTGCAAACCATTCATTTGCAATGGACCTGGTAGTGGAGAAACGGTCCCTTAAGGCCAATAATCTTAGGCGGCGATCTTCACGGTCTGTTGTTGTACGGCGGCGTCCAGTGCCCCTTGCTCTTTGCGTACGGCCTTCTCGAAGCCATACCTGACAACACCTAACCACAGTGTCTACACTTGTTTGCACTCTAACTGCAATTGCCCGAAAAGAAAGTCCAGCTTCCCGAAGTCCCACTATACGGCCCCTATCAAACTCACTAAGTTGACGAAATCGTACAGGTCTCCGTACTCTAGGCATCGTAACCGATCGTAAAGGATGTCAAGAACCAAAATCCGCCAACATTGATTCTTTACTGCGGCTGAAATATTCATTTTTAGAGCGTTAGTGAATTAAAAAAAAAAGCAGTATAAAAACCGGAATGTCCAACTGATAAGGCTGAAAATTTTTTCACTTGTTATTTACAGTAAGATAAATACATTCACCAACTTTTATTAAAATAAAACCATTTAATCTGGGTGTTCGGATTTATATGTCACTTAGTATATTAGTATTACAAAAAATCGCGCTAGCGGCGCGGTAAGTAAAAATAAACAACTGCTCCCTATTGACTGAAGGTGATTTCTCGAATTGCAAAAATCGAAATCTATTCTACATCTATTTGCATCGTCTGCTCTTGGCTTCAGTAAAAATCACCATGGTCGAGCGAACAGAAGAAAAAATTCTTTGGAATGCAAACGAGCCACGTGAGTGCGCGTGTGTGCGATAACGAGCAAAAGGAAACAGGTAGAATTTGAGAAGCGACCGTGACATGGACATTGATTTCCGATTGGAAGAATGGCGTAATACACATAAAATTGTATATTTTTAAACCAAGCGCTTCGTCCAAGGTGAAATGATTTCAATGCACGAAACGCGAACCATCCATCGGTACTAGTGTATAATCCGAATTTCAGTGACGGATTAAGTTTAAGTGCTCTGTTATCAAAGTTTGGTGTAACTATTGTATTTGTTTTCGCATTTCTGTGAGTCGATAATATAATTTGATAATACGAGCGTGGTCTGAAAAGTTCCCGAATCAATCAGCACCAACCGCCTAAACTGCGCTAACAGAGCGTTGGAAATGTTCATTCGAACACATTTTTAGTCTAACGTGAACAAACGCGGACAGCTTTCTGATGCCCAAGTGTTCATTTAATATGTGACAAACACGTTCTTTTGATGTCTATAACCTGTACTATCTCTTTCACTTTAGTTCGCTGTTCTTTTTGCTCTCCTAAAATGTTGTTACTTTTGAGTTAGGCGGTGTTAGAGCTCAAGCGACAATATGACACAAATTTGATATTCAGTCTTACGTCCTAAGTCGATGAGCAATGGCAAAAATCTCTAAAGTACTTTCATTTTTATATTTTTATGGCGTTTCATGATATTTCAGAAAATGTAAAAGGTACGTGCAACTTGGATCGCTCATTTTTGTACATTGATGGTTACCATTTATTGTAGATATTTCTCAGTACTGGAACTACTCGAGTATTTTCCGGTTTGTAACAAACTCACTACCTCCCAGTCGCCAGTAACTCCGTTCTGCACTAACATTCGCTCTACCACACAATTACGTTATTACGATAAGCCCTACATATTTAACCCTTACACCGACCTTAAAATTGTCTACGTTTTCTCTTAGTCTAGGGAACGTGTACAATCTGGCAACTCCGCATGGGGGTATCTAGGACTGTCCATCATCTACGAAGCCTCAACCCGCTAGGGCTTCAAATAAAGGAGATACCCATTGAACCCCATGTAATTCCAAATTTCACCGTACAATATAGTCGTTGGACAGCTACTTATTGAATGGCCCCTGTATGTAAAAATCGTTTCCGATCTCTTGATTCCCGCTGTTTCTATAAAATACCAGATGCTCGAAATTCCTTTGTTTGAGACGGAAATTCCCGCGTATGAGTGAAGCAAAGCTTAAAGAAGGAATTTTCGTTGGACCTCAAATACGAGAACCTTTTAAGGACCAAAATTTTTAAACTATACTTTCGAGAAAGAAAAAGAGGGCATGGGATGCCTTCAAAAATGTATGTAGCAACTTCCTAGGCAGCAAAAAGTCGGACAGCTTCAATGATCTAGTTGAAGAACTTATCCAATCTTATAAGTCCTTAGGTTGCAAAATGTCACTTAAGCATTGTCTTCACTCACAATTATAACTCTTCCCTGACAATTTGGGTGCAGTTTCAGACGAGCACGGCTAAAGATTTCACCAGCAAATTGCTTAGATGGACCCTTAACCGTGGCGAATTGTTTTTCTAATACAATATGAAGTATACATATTATGTAAAAAAAGTGAATTTGTTATTTTTTTTTCTAGTTTTTAGAAATTCACCACTAGATCGCTTATAATTTCGGATTTTCATATTTTATATTCTCCCTCCTCTAAAAACTTGTGGGTGATTGGGAGAAATTCACTGCATATTAGATTTCAGTACAACACAGTAGACGTAAAAAATCGGAAAAAAATTCGGATATACTCGTAGTAGAATACCAAAGTTGATGACAGTAGCGAAACTCATTGTACGTCACTGCTATTATGAGAAGGCCTTCGAAAATGCGGCGCTTCTTTGTGAAATGTCGGCAACCGTCGCTGTAATCAAAAGGTACCGCGTCAAACCAGTGGCGCACGATGATTTCTGCTACTGTCATCAATTCTGGCATTTGACTATAGCGACAAAAATTTTCGCAATGTCGAACTGTGTATTCCAACTGTTTAACTTCCCAAGCGTAAACGGGGAAGGTGTTTTAAAGGTGACGTTGCCGTACCGCCTGCGTGAAACATAACCTAACCCAAAATTGCATTCTTCTTCACATATTGGAAGACCAGACTTGTCTGCAGATCAGTTACGTGTCCTCACTCGGTAACACACATCTCCTGATAATTGGTATTATTATTTGATAAACCAAATAAAAGATAGCAAACATTCTTAAAGAGAGGCACGCCGATTACAAAAGTAAAACAAAACATATGTACGAGGTACGAGGGTGGTCCCAGAAGTACCCGGCCTGACCTAGAGATGGCGATAGTAGTAGCCCCCTAGGATTATTTTCTGTTTCCAAAAAAATGGCTCAGTGGTCAAAGATTTTTCAACGGCGAAGAAGTAATGTCGGCAGTTAATGGCTATTTTGAGGAGCAAGACAGTTCTTATTATAAAAAGGGTATCGAACTTATTAAACATCGCTGCCAAAAGTTTTTTACAAAAATTTTGTGTTTTCTTCGTTGGGTCGGGTACTTCTGGCAGCACCGTCGTATATCATGTCAAACAGAGCGAAAAACACACAGAAAAACCACTGATATGTCGCAACAAACACGTCATTTGCAGGCTCCCCTTCATTGGTTGAACCGGGAACGGCAACGGCAGAAAGTTAAAGCGTCGTCAAGTCTAGCGCTAGCATTGCGGACGAACGTTGCGGAATTCCTGCTTATGAACAGTTTAACGATAGAAACTTTTTTTTATCTTCTGCTTCGATTTGTTCATACATTTGCTATGAAAACATATTCACACACATCAACTAACTTACCAGTCTCATCCTTAGCGCCGTTTAGTTGAGGATGTAGATGTGGGTTGGGGGAACTGGGCGTGGAAGTGAGCACGAGTGTTTTCAAAGCAGCAACTTCTGCGGTGAGGACGTCCACTTTCATCTGGCTTTCCTTCAGTGCTTTTTCGGACGCTGCTTGCTTCTCATTAGCCTCTCTCACCATATTATGAGCCTCCTGGAATGAACGGTTTCTTGTCAGTAGGATAGCTTAAATATTTACGTATTTATTTAATTGTAACACCAACTATTACTGGGGGAGGCATCAGAACACAGTAAATATAACTTAACAATCACAAAATATACTCAGTGATATTAGAAATGTTACACTCAGAAAAAATAATTTCTTCAACAACATAATGACTATTTATATATAAAGCATGCCGTGGCAACAATGTCGACGTTTTATTTTTGTTTTTGTTCACCTTTGTTATAATCTCTTCTAGTCCTACGAGACCGTTCTGCCTACTACGCGTCAGAAGTTTTTGTGAAGAAAGCAGTTTCTGAGAGCTGAGTAGTACAGATATTTTTGGTTATTGCTCTTTCATTTACCTACTAGTATTAAGCATAACAAAATGCCTCGTGTTCGAAGACGTCTAAATTATTTATCACCATGTTGACAGGGGTAGAATTATTTCCTACTTATTGAATGGCCCCTGTATATCGTTTCCGATCTCTTGATTCCCGTTGTTTCTATAAAATACCAGATGCTCGAAATTCCTTTGTTTGAGACGGAAATTCCCGCGTATGAGTGAAGCAAAGCTTAAAGAAGGAATTTTCGTTGGACTTCAAATACGAGAACCTTTTAAGGACCAAAATTTTGAAACTACACTTTCGAGAAAGAAAGAGAGGGCATGGGATGCAATGTCGACGTTTTATCTTTGTTTTTGTGCACCTTTGTTAAAATCTCTTCTAGTCCTACGAGACCGTTTTGCCTACTACGCGTCAGAAGTTTTTGTGAAGAAAGCAGTTTCTGAGAGCTGAGTAGTACAGATATTTTCGGTTATTGCTCTTTCATTTACGCATACCAAAATGTCTCGTGTTCGAAGACGTCTAAATTATCACCATGTTGACACGGTTAGAACTATTGCCTATCGAGATGTTGGTTGGTCCTATCGCGAAATTTCCCGCCGTGTTAATTGTACTGCAATGACGGTAATGCGTGTGTGGATAGAAGAAGGTAAAGGAACACGAAGAAGGCCAACTGGTCCACCGAGGCGTACCACATGGTTTGGAGAAGAAGGTAGACCTGGTACTATGCGTACACTCTGTCGCCGCATTCTTCGAGCCTTTGGACTTTTTTGATACCGTCCCCGGTTAGTGTTTCCTCTGTCTGCGGACCGCTGTCGTCAAAGTTTGAACTGAAGCAGAGAACGGCAACACTGAGAGGCAGAATGGCATAATGTCATCTTCAGCGACGAATCGCGATTCTGTCTTGGTACGCACGATGGTCGTAGAAGGTTAAGAGAATGGCGTGATATTGTATTTGCTGTTAGAGGCATGTGCACAGGATTGTTGGAGTAATGGTTTGGGGGGGTTATTGTCTATGGTAGCCGATTCACCCCTTCTAAAAAAACAACAAAATAAAATAGACGGATTAAGTCAACATACATTGGTATGAGTAATGCCGATTCAGTTATAAAAATACGAAGAGATAATAGGTAATAAATAAACGGGAAAAAAACTCTGATCCAAACTATGTTATATTGTTCTGAATTTTTGTAAATATCTTTTTAACTGTACTGTGTAACTCCGGGAAGACTGGATACCTGGATAGTCTTTATGTTTCTAAAGAAAGAAACCCGAACAGATTACAGAAACAAGTAACAATGCTGATGCAAGACTGCGGGAGGCGGTTAGAGATTTGCCTACTTTTGCTGATCAGTAAATAATCGTAAAAAATCTGCTTACATAATACTTGAACGGCCCCTTATACAAGTGAAGTATTGAGTCAATCTCATTTCTTCAATCACTCCCGTCAACAAATTTTAAATAAGTAAACTAGACAAGCTACCTTGAAGCATTGTTGTAGTAAGTAAAAGTAAACAAAGAATTTTACACTCAGTCCACTTCGAGGCCCAAAGTCCTTTCGGGCTCATGGCAATAACACTGAAATAGATGAGCCTGCAAGGAAACGGATTGTTTTTGAAATACCGTCCTCGTTCGTGCAAGCAGAAGCGAGATCTGGAACTAAATATTTAATTTCCGTTCTGGGGAAGGCAGACGCCCACACTTTCTAATCTGAAAGAATCCGACGCCGGCGGATGCACGGATTTCGTGGGAATACACACGGCCATTGCCACCGCATTCCAGGAAATGCATGAAATATACAGGGTGGTCTGATCAGACTAGTATTTAGCTCCATACTGCGCTGAGCAGTAAATTAAGCCATATACAGGGTGGCGAATCGAAAACGAAACAGACGCATTTACTGGCAGCTCAGTTTTTTTAAAAACGCACAGTCCCGTCAATTTTGTTTTCGAGGGGGACACAAGTTTGGCAAAAAATCACGTTAGCACGTGCAGCCCCCTGGGCGGGGGTGACACCACCCCAAAATCTTGAATGGAAAGGGGGGTCGAGTGATACCTTATTTTAAAGGTCTTTCAATTCCCTTTATAATGATGTAAAATACATTAGCGTCAGTTCAGTAATTTTGAAGATTTGTTGATTTAAAGCTTAAAGTAGATTTTAATAGGTACATCAGATTAGTTTGTACTACTTTCAGAAGAAATTTGGCTAAAAGAATTTACTTAATAAGTAAATGCTTTTCGTCACTACGCCCACGGTTTGTTTATTATTTTGTTGTTGAAAATAGCTTTTGGAGCGGAAAATTAAAAACAAACTGCGTGGTCAAAGGTTCCAGTCACCAGAAGAAGCAGTTGACGCATTCAAAAATGCCGTTTTGGATCTGCCAGCAAACGAGTCGAATAAGTGCTTCGAAAATTGGTTCGGGCGCATGCAGATGTGTATTAATCTTCGCGGAGAATACTTCGAAAAACAATAAAGTCATTTAAAACTACCTACAGTGTTGTTTTATTTCCATATGCAAAACTTAAAAGGCATTTTTTTTATAATCCAACTACCACGAAGGCCTAAGGCCTAAGCACCCATTGGGTACCGTGGGGCTATGGGGGATACATGGGAAAGGGGGGACGCCACACGGACTCTGGCGAGGTAACACGTGTGCATGCAACATGCACACATTCTGGCTCCGCCTACGTGTACCGCCGGGTGGTACCTCCGCGTTCGACAGTCAGAGACCATCTACCACCTACGGACAATCACAACATCCATAGCCAAGAGAAAAATTTCTCCTGGGACGGAACTCGAACCCGCACAGCGCACGGCGACTGATCAGGAGACCGAAGAGTCTACTACTGCTGCCACCGCTGCTGCCTGAAATGTCCCAATTGGAGATTGGTCAGGCGATCGTGGTGGCCAAGGTAAACGGTTGATGCGATGTTGATCCATAAAGGCTAACGATTCTCTGGCAATATGCAGTCTGGCATTGTCTTGCTGAAAAATCGGGTTTTGGATGATGTTTAGGAATGGAATGGAGATGAGGCTTCCTGAATATAACGACCACCTGATTCCATTCCCGGTCCCATATAATTCTTTCTCTACACCAGAGCAAATGGTTACCCCCATGTTCAGGTGTGAGAGGTAGCACATAATGTGACTGAAAAAATGCCAAACTGTCGTATTCGGCGATATACCCTACGCATGCCAACCATCCTTTCCTGCTCCTTAAACCACTGATTAGCGATGGGTCAAGTCTTAACCGGCAGTCTTGTCACTGTGGTCCCTCTGGGATGTCCAGAATCCCTCTCTCGCTGTCCGTCGCCGCAATATACTGCGTAAGGATCTGTTGGCCCTCCTAGAAACTTCTCTTATCCATAGACCGGCTTCATGCATCTCTACAATTTGACCCCTCTCAAAGTCACTTAACTGGGACACCCGGCTAATTCTACTCACTCTAGGCATTTTGAGCAATCACAAGAAGGCTTCTCAATCAGCTTCACGAAATTTAACTGACACCCTAAATGTACGAAAACTGAATGCTTCTCTTTTACCAAACAATACAAACAGCCACCACAAAGACTTGACAGGAAAACCTGACCATTTTATCACTTGTTGTTCATGACAAGATAAATCGATTTGTAAAAATTCTTGAATTCTGAAAAACATAGTAAGTGTCACTCAGTTAATCTGATATTGATATGTTTCTTAAAAAATGAATGTAACAAGAACCGCATTTATATATTGTCAGCTGATGATTCTATTTGCCTTTAAAAATTATGTCATTCATTTTGAGAATGCTGTTTTTGGCGTTGTCAATGTGACAACTGTGGATATGAAATTTTTTTAAACTGTCACAAATTAGTTGATAAATCTGGTCCAACAGCTGTTTGGATAATTTCTTAGTGAATTTTGATAAGGATTTTAATGTATCTGTTGTGGATCACTGTTTGTCTGACCATTACTGTATAATCCTCAATATCCGGGTATCTAAAGTGCAGTGCAACGAAGCCAATAAGTATTCAAATATTCGAGACTTTTCTGAACAGAATATACAAAATTTCACACTAAAATTGAGTCAAGAAAGCTGGTTGGAAATGTACCAACAGTTTTCTACGGAAAGCGCTTGTGATACATTCTTTAACATCATCTTGTATCATTTCAATGTTTCATTTCCTTATAGAAGAATACGCCTTGAAAGACAGAAGAAAGTGGTTCTGCCAGTCAAGTTAGTAGAACTGAGAGACAGAGTTATACTTTATCTGAAGTCACTTGAAATAGCATAAAAACCTTTGGTCGGCGCGTCCTTTGTAATTTCATGACGTATCATAGGCGTGCGGTCATTTATTTAGAACGATAATAATAATGTTTTTATATCACAATAAATGGATTTTACTATCTTCTTATTTTTTTGATTTGGGATAAAAAATACTTATATTGGGAGTTTAATTTATGTTGACTGAAAGTTAAGAAATGGAAAAATTACAGAATTCCAACGTAGGCAAATATTTACATAGCAGGTAGGTATATAAAAAGGTATATAAAGACTTACATTATAGGTATTTATATATCATCCTCGCCTTCGGAGCTGTCGCTAGAGTCATCTTGTAGAGGAATTACAACGGGATTTACAGGAGGCAAAACACAATATTCATTTTATTTTTCAATAATATGCCTAGAACACTGCTTCCATAGGTCTGTGGCAGCAATATGAGATACTGCATCTCTTATTGTGGCCAATAGCGATTCACTTAATTGAGGGGTCTGATTATGTTTTCTTACTTTTTTTTTAAAGCAGCCCAGACCAACTCAATCGGGTTAAAAATGCAGTAATAGGGAGGTAGACGTAATACTTCATGGCCATTTGCTGAAGCAGATTGTCAACAACATACTCTTTTTCAAATTTTTGTCTTTTAATAAGATCCAATAATATGGCTTTGGTTGATTTTTGTGGTATTTCCATTCCCTTATCCTTCATAAATCAATAATGTCGTGTTTTTTTGTGCCTGTATTCGGAATTTTGTTTTTCGTCGGGAATGGTATGGCGCATTGTCCATAATAATCACTGAATTTGGGGAAATGTTTGGTATTAACTGCTGCTCTATCCACTTTTCAAATAAGTCGGAGGTCATGTCCTCATGATAGTCGGCACATGATTCTTTGATATTTTTGGCAGATAACAGCAAGGCATTAGGTATAAATCCATTTTCACTGCCAGCATTGAGAATAATGATTCGTTTTCCACGGTTGCATGGTGCATTTAAAATGCACTTGTTGTTGTCGTCAACCCAGCCGTACTTCACAACATCATGGGTATCATACCACGTTTCATCCAGGTAAATCAGATTTCTTTTCTGCTCTCTATAGATTTTAACTTTGTGCAAAAATTCTTGGCGCAATTCAACGATTTCGAGACGACTCCATAATCACCATTCTTTTATCTAATTTTTTGTATTGAAAACCACACAGCTTTACAATACAGTGCAGTGAGTCTAAGCATTGTAATTATAAAAATCTTCAGGCACCAAATGTTCTTTATAAAATCCGTATGTTATACGACGAATATCTTCCTGAAAACCCACGTCTATTCTTTTTAATTTTTGCCCTATGCGCTTTCTGTGGAAGGAATGGTTGAGTACATCTCCCCTTTTTATAACCCGATAAATGGTAGACCGACTGATTTTGTCAGTATACAAATTCTGTTTAAAATTTGATTTTGCGAGGAATCTGGATTTTCGTTTTTCAGACAATCATACATATTTAGGATTACTCTTTGGGTCTGTTCCTCTAAATCTTTATGAAAGAATTCTGCCTGCACAGGTTCATCAACCATCTCCTCGTGGCTGGAGCATTTTCCCAAGGTCTCCAAAGAGCCATATTTAGGACACACAAGAACAATCAATACAACAATTAAATCAACAAGTAAACTGAGTATTCAAAAGTCAAAAACACACAAACTAATAAAATCTATGAAAAAACACGGACAGACTAAAGAAAACACGTTTATATTCACCGCTACACGGCACTGGCTAAACTGTTTCAATTTTCAGTAGCCACCTGCACTTGTTCGGAGCTCTGAAATACACGCTTTCTCATTGGCTATGTCCACGCATAGGCGTGCTTTACTCCACGTGGACCGGTGAAACTGCCTTTGATCTTAGGGATATTTGCTGCGAAATTTGGCGATTTTGCAGCAACAGAGCATGTTAAATATAGATATATAAAACGCACCCGGTATTTCACAGTGTTTCAAGTGACTTCAGATAAAGTATACATTATGTCATTCTTTGGCAAAAGCTGATGGCAGGTACAAAGAACTTAGTAAGCAAGTTACAAAAACTTAGTAAATATAGGCAACAATGTATAGATTCTAAAATCGATTCCTCAAGCAATCGTAGTAAATGCACGTGGCGGCATATTATTAATAACATACAAAAAAAGATCTAAGAAAACTATAAATATAACTGAGGATGGTGAACAAGTACTAGATCAAATTTTAGCAACCAAATTTAATGAGCATTTTACATTAGATGTGAAAAACCATACAGTTATAGAGGGTGATGTGTGCTATTTGGTTTTCAGTTGAGTGGTTTTGACTCAATTTCAAAATAATTTGCACAAAAAAGGTATCGTGGAGATCTGTTCGCCTTTAT